AGCATGGAGGACATTAGGAGAAGGAAGGGAAAACTGAAGGGGGGGAAATCAGAGGGGGAGATGAACCATGAGAGACTATGGACTCCAGGAAACAAACTAAGGGTTTCAGAGGGGATGGGGGTGGGTGATGGGTTAGCCCAGTGATGGGTACTAAGGAGAGCATGTATTGCATGGAACACTGGGTCTTATATGCAAACAATGAATCATGGAACACTACATCAAAAACTAATGATGTACTGTATGGTGACTAACATAACATAATAAAAAAAAGAAAGTTATTGCTATGTAGTTCTTATGATATCTTTGTCTTGTTTTGGTATTGGAGTAATGCTGACCTCATAAAATAGAAGGGATTATGTTGAATTATTTTTTTCCTTAAATATTTGGTGGAATTAGCCAGTGATATGGCTAACCAGATGGAGTTGGTTTTGTTATTGTTGTTGTAATGGTTTTGTCTATACATTCAATTTCTTTAAAAGGTATTAAACTATGGAGATCATCTATTCTTGAGTCAATGTTGATAATTTGTGTCTTTCAAGTAATTCTATTTCTTTCCAGATGTTAAATTTATTTCATAAATTTGTTCACAGTATTTCTTCATTTTCCTTTTAAAATCCCTGCATTCTGCAGTGATATCCGTTCTTTTATTCCTTACATTGATAACTTTTGTCTTCTCTCTTTTTTCCTTGGTTGTTCTGAACGAAGTTTACTCCATTTTGTTGATTTTTATTGTAATGTCATCTTAATACAGTTATATGTTAATACTTTGCTTGGTATATTTGAGCCTGATCATTGAGATAGATAGATGATAGATAGATAGATAGATAGATAGATAGATAGATAGATAGACAGACAGATAGCTATTCCTGAAATTTAAATATCATTGGAAATATATTTATTTTTTGTTTTGTTTATGTTTATTTTATTTTAGTGAAGGTATAGTTAATAAGATGCTAAAGCAAAGACCAAGAGAAGTTGGTTGAAAATATGAATTTCCTAGAAATTGCTCCAAAGGAAATAATTTTATTTAGTAAGTTAAAAGAATAAATACAGTCTTTGTCAGATTAATGGAAAGAAATGGAAAGAGAATGTGTGGAAATAAAACCATCAGTTGGTATTGAGGATTATGGTTATAATGCTTCTAATTTTGTGCAACAAAACATGATGTATATCAACTTTGTCTGAATATACCAGAACTGCTTATCTGGAGTTCTAGGTGTGGAAATAACAACAAATGAGGAAACACAGAGGTCAAAACATAGATTTTCCTCCCCCACATATTGGTACAGTCTTTGATAGTCACAGAAGAGATATAAGCTTAAGAAGACTGCAGACTCCCACATTCCTGCAGTGGAATAAACCTAGGTAGGTAGAACTTTTTTTTTCCATTATCCAGAGCACCAGAAAGTACTTTTGTCTATGTTCTGAGAGGCACAGATGTAGAACCTGGACAGAAAGAGACTGGACAGAATGTGGGCTCAAGGCAGAGAGAGTTCTTCCTTTCTTTCCATCGGTAGATACTCAATGCCAAATATTTCAGGAATTTTTTTTTTCTAGATAACGTAGAAAGTTTCAGTGACTTAGACACATTTGATCTTGTCTTCATTCCTGCTTTCTGACTTTCTGATTATGCAAGCGCACTTTCCGCATCAGTGGATAGATAGTAAGGCTTAGCGTTAAGAAGGAAGTTAGTCTCCAGCCCTATTTTCTAGCAGAGCCAATTTAAGATAACAGGGGAAAAATTTGTTTAGAATTGTGACATTGAAACTTTTTTGTTTATAATGTGCAAGTGCAATTCAGAACGTCAAGACTGGACATGGTGAGCCAGCTAAGTTCACAATAGTATTCTCGGTGAGAATCATTTGAGTTTTATAACTAATCTTGTAGAGGTATAAGGAAGAGGATTAGGTGGGTTTGAAGCGGTATTAACTTATAAAGGGTAATGGGGCTTTGAAGTTAATATTTAAGGTGAGGACAATGTGGTAAACAAGACTAATTTTTGTATTGTGGAGTAACCAAGAAATACTGTAATGTCCTTCTCTAAATAGGCAACAGAGGTGAAATAGCAGCATTTGTTAGAAAGATGATGACTGTAAATGTGAAAATCCTACTCAAAATATTGAACAGCTGAATGGTAGCTTAAAGGAGCAGTCAAAGGCTGCACTACAGGCTTAAGATTTGACAGACTATTACAGTATATAATAACATATCTGTAATAAAAATCATTAAAGTGAATTTTAGTGAGTAAAAATGTGCCCGGTAAATATTATGGTCAATATTTTGAACCTAAAATACATATTTGTTGAGTGAATGGATGAGTAAATAATGGCATTTGCAGTGAGGCATGATAGAAGATACTTTTTGGAGTCAACAGTTTATTTTCCCCCCGACAAAGTTATACTGAAAGCTCTGGTTCCCTCAAACACTCAAACCTGTTATGTGTGGGCTTCAGGAGGCTAAATAAGGGATGTGTCAGTCTGAGCCAGGCTTTATCTAAAGAGCAGATTCTTACTTATCAGACCTATGACTCTTTGGTCCCACATCTGTAAGATGTCTGTGAATTTAGGCAAGTTATCTACCATCTTTGGATATAAAGGTCACATTTTAAAAAGATATAATAACTGATTGATGAGATACTCTTTATTTATGAAATATTAGTGGAAAAGACTCATCCACTAAAGAAAAAGAAAAAGAAATGTTCTTGTTAGCACTCCAGTGTGATCACATAAGATAAATTCCTTGTTTCAACTCTTTCATTGAAAGCAACTATTGGGAATAGAAAAATTGAATACTTAGGATTAATCTTAAGTGTCCCATAAGAGTTCCATATCATGATATCTTAATCTTTTCATTAGAACTGCAAAGAAATTTACACATACAAACATTATTTGGACCAGAGTACACTGCTACCTCTTTTTTTTTTTAAGAAATTTGGCATGGATCTCAAGAGTCAGAAACTATGTTTCCACTTTGATACAGGAATTTTATACATAAGCAGTTATATGAAGGGTCTAATTCCATATAATTAGCATAATGGGAGGAGAAAACATAAGAAGAAATTGTATGAGGTGTAATCAAAACTAAGTTAAAACATTATAGGGAGAGTGATAGAATTCATAAATACCAATGCAATAAGGAATAAAGTCTGCCCCTATTTTCCAAACTTAATGTTAGCAAATATTCATAAAATTGATATAGTAGAAGATGATAAAGAAATAAGAAGCTAATATTTTGGGGGGAAAAAAGGTTAAAATGAGTTAGTTTTCAAGGGTGGCCATTCTGGGGTTTGCTCTGCTATGGAAATCCATGATTGTTTTTGACAACAAGTGCCAAAGCACATCCTAACTTCTTAAGAAGATAATTGAGAATTTATGCTACATTTTTACATCTCTGATGATACTAGGAAAATTGGATGCATCATTTCCAGTGTCACACATATGAGACATGAGCATGATTGTATTTTATGTTGACAAACCTGGGGCTTGAACTAAATATAGCATTCATTGTCACACAGAAATTAAAGGTAAGGTGGCTTTTATATAGTGTATTCCCGGGTCTCTCTTATTTCCCTAGAATAATTATGGATACTAATCCTATTCTCTTTCATCCTCAAAATTATCTTGGAATGGATGATAAATTATGTGATACATTTAATTAAATTAAAGGGAAATGTCTTTAATTCAGATCTATTTGTCTTTATTTTTTTTTAAAGATTTTATTTACTTGTGTAAGAGAGAGAGAGTGAGCACAAACGGGGCGGGGGCGGGGGGGACAGCAGGCAGAGGGAGAAGTAGGCTCCTTGCTGAGCAAGGAGCTCTACTCCATCCCGGGACCCTGGGATCATGACCTGAGCCGAAGGCAGACACCCAACCAATTGAGCCACCAGGTGTCCCTCTATTTGCCTTTAAATCCCAGGTTATTTTCACTCCACCATGGCTAAAGCTAAATAAATATATCACAACTCTCATGGTGGGTACTTTTTTACAAGTCTGTGGCCACATGCAACTTAAAAACAAAAACAAAAACAAAAACAAACACAAAACCAGGCTTGAGATTTATAGCATTCCTTAACCTGGGAGGATATCTTATAGTTATGTAGGATTTGATATTCCTCAACCTCTCTCATCTCTCTCCTTCATTTACACTGTTGTTTATCACATCAGTGATATCAGAGTCAGCAGCATGGACACATGAACATCACTTGGCCAGTGACTTCTCTTCATATATGATAAAGACCTCAGATAAAAGAAGCCCAGTATCTACTTCCCTTATAATAAGATTAACAATATTTGGCATATGATGGGGCATATATGATGCTATTAACAGACGACCATCTATTACAGAATGAACAAAACTTTGAATTCTGTTAGGATGCCTGTGGACATTCCTCCAAACCAAAACCAAAGTACCCCACTGGGAGAGACAGAAACATCTAGTACCCTGAAACATCTACTAGACAGGCTGCAGAAATTCCTGAAGGGGAATCTAGAAGCACTGGGGGTAAGTAAGTAAACCACTAATAAAGAATTTTGAACCAGGAGAAACTGGGGGATATATTGAGGGTGAAGGATTATTTTGGCTGATGAAGTGGTTGTCATAGAGGCACCAGGTTATGACCTGTGTCAATCATTCTGTGGAGTGGAAGAAAGACACTTTGATTAAAAGCAAGGGACCATGTTTATATGGGCATGGGAGGGGTGCATTAAGAGGAGACTGCAAATGAAGCTCTTGGATGAGCCTCATTGTGACTGTATCTTATGAAAGCAAAGTTGACCCATATGGGCTGGCCTCTGGAAAAAAAAAAAAGCACATCTCCAGGATCTGACTCTTCTTAGCAGATCTTTTAATAGTATTCAAGGGGGTCAATCCTATGGATGACCAGGATATTTGGACCAGGTGATTCTCTCTCCTGAAAAATGCTCACCTTTGTCTTTAAAACATGTATTTTTGTTTTGTTAATTTTGATGGTTTGTAATTTGGTTTGTTTTGTCTCTTATCCAGATGGCTCAGATTATGATTGGTGTGAAATGCTTCTTTTATGGGATAATTGGATTTCTTGTTCCTAATTCTGAAATGTACAGAATCATTTTCTTCTCAATTTACACAGGCTTCTCTTTCTGGGGGGCATTGTCTGTGAGTACCTCACATCTAAATTTATAATTATCCAATCATTTATTCATTCATTCATCCGCTAAATACACAACTTGTATGGCATCTTGCCAATTCTAGAATACTTGCAACGATAGTTAAGATTGAATTTCCAACCTGAACTTTAATATATATTCTAATGTAACACTTTCCTTAAGCTCTATTCATTGCTGTGTAGTATGATACTATTCAGTATAATCTTGCTGTTTTGCTCAAGGAGAAAATCCTGGGTTTGACACATGGAAGAAGTGTCTCTGAAATGTAATAATATTTGGATCGGAGAAGATGCTGGGGGTAGGGAAGTGTTACTCTTCTTAAGTCATCACACTTCTTGGCCAAATACATTGAGAAAAATGCCATGTAATCTGAGCTCATGTTTTCCCCTTTACTGCACCCCAAAGTGTGTCTTTGAATTATATTTACTCTACTTATTTTATTTTCTCCACATTGAATAAGTATTTTTCTGCTGTGGTTTTTATGTCCACTTCTCTTATTTAGCTAAAGGAATTTTACTATTCATAAGAATAAAAGTATAATTATGGTACTTTAATTGTGCAGTGCACACACTTTCATGATTTGCTTTCCTCTGAGTTCTGAAGGGGTGCCTGGGAGGTGGGGGGCACTAGATAGGAAGAGAGATATGCATCTGGCAATGGGGTGGGAGGGTGAGTTGGAAGAAGCTGCTACTCTGCAGACATCTTTCTTATCTTATAAACAGTTTATCGTTTCTGGAAGTCTGACTGTTGTGTCTGCCAAGAAGCAAACAAAATCACTGGTAAGCTAACAAGTTTTCCATTTATCAGAACTTATAACACTCTTGACTTTCCCATTTGAAGCCCAGTCATCCAGGGGATTCATCATTTTATAGTACATTTCATCATGTAACTGTCAATTTGGCCCAATGAATCATGTGATCATCCTATAGCTAGACACAAACAAGCTGGATCTCCTGGGATTTTAGAAATTCTGATCCCCATATCTTGTCACCATAAGAAGAATGAGTAAAGATTTATCTAGCTATTAAAGCTTTTTTATGGTATGGGGTAGGGCAATGTTAATAAAGATAAAAGCATGGCTTAGGCTTGAGCAAGGCAGAGTTTTATTTTTGGTAGAGGGAGGAGCTAATACAGGGTCAGAAACTAGAGATGCTAAAATGTCCACAATGTTTTTATCCTATCCATGGTATGTGTTTAAGAAAGATCAATCCTCTCCAACTTTTCTTCTCCCAATTGTGATTTGCCATTGAACTGAATTGGCAATCTAGGGGTGATGAATGCCTGTAGATCCCATGGCTAAGTTAAGTCAGAATTCTTCTCCCAGTTTATAGGGTCTAGAAACCCCTGGTCCTTAACTTATAAGCTAGTTATTTCCTTTTTTTTCAGCTGAGAGGGAATCTAGGTGCTAACATTCTCAGCACCTTGGTCTCGATTATTGGGATCTGTATTCTGTCATACAATTTAACAAAAAATTGCCGCTATGATTGCAAGGAGGAAACTTTCTGTTTGGGCGTCAAATCAATTGCAACTGTAAGTATTATCCTCCTGAATTCTGGGAAGACTGAATGTTATCTGAGCATGAGGAAGAGGAGTCATGATCATTGGTATATGGTAATGCATGACATTTTATTTTCTTTAACAGGAACTTGTGAGTGTCCTGATTATCCTAACTTGTCTGCAAATTTTAATTTCATTACCTCTCTCCATGCTCAACTATAATGTGGATGACAAGAATATTCACTGGGTAAGTGCAATTCTTGGAAGAATGAGGATGATTTCAACTATTTCATTAGATGATGCTGTCAGTGACCTTTTTTTTTTTTTTTTGGTAAAATGAACAAAAATATAAACTATAAGTGATTCTACGGACAACCTGGGAGCTACTAGTTGTGTGTTGAGCACACTTGGAATACACAGTGTATAATTCTCTAGTCCATACATAAACTCTCACTGAGGGGTATATATCCATGAATTCAAACATCCATCCATCCATCCATCCATCCATCCATCCATTAATTTACTGTATGAAGTATACTCTTTAGTGTGATGAATATACAAAGTATCTATCATTCAAAAAATAATAAAATCAAGGCATAATTAATTTAAAAACCTGAAGGAGATGAAATATATAATTGCAGGTATATACAATTGAAAATAAAATAAGCTAAGAAACACAAATATAGTTAGAATTTTATGCTTTATTATCACATGTAACAATTACAGGTAGTACAGAGCTAGTGGCCTGCTTTCCCCAACCTCATCAACTGGTTCTTTTTGTGTGTTGAAATTACTACCACGGCTGTGTGTCAGTTAGAGTTAATTCAAACAGGAAATGGAAAGTTTTATGGCATCAGAACTCCCCTCATTTCAAGTGTATAACATTTATCACAAGCATTGGATTCTATGATTCTAAGGGCTAGTTAAGCAAGTCTGAATTCCTCAGGGCAGTCAGTCAGGAAAGGAAGACCATGGGTGGGATGGACCCATGGGCATGGCAAAAGGTGTCACACATAAGTAGAATTTCTTCTCTTCCACCTTTTATTGTAAGCAAGAAGAAGCCAGGCTTTTCCTTCAGTGCTTTGGAATTCTCAGTTTGTTATCCAAGTTTATCATTTACTAGTTATGCTTTCCACATAACTGTCAGAGAACATTCTGTTAAATTTCTGCCACTGCACCACAAGACCCTCTCTCCAGTTTCCAGTAATATGGTCCTCACTTCTTTCTGAGCCACACTGATAGCATTCTCAGTGTCTTTATTTCCACTAATAGACCGTTTGAGACATTTTAGGCTTTATCCATACTGTGCCTCAAAATGTTGCTCCTCCAAGTTTTGTTCGTGAAAATTTTGCTCCTCAAAATTTTTCTCAACCTTGTTTCATCCCACTGCCTAATGCCAAAGCCACTCCTGTATCCTCGGTATTTATTTACAGATCCTAGATATACTTATAGCAATAATATTGTATTGTTACCCCATTTCCAGTACCAAAACACATGATAACTTTTTGTTGTTGCCTGACAAATTGCCACAAGCATATCAACTTAAAACAATGCCTACCACCTACTTACTACCTCACAGCTCTGTAGATCAGAAGTCTGGGTGGACCCGACTGGATGCTTTACTCAGAATCTCATAAGGCTGAAGTCCATGTACTGGAGTCACCAGCCCCCTGGAAACTCTGGAATGGCCTGCTAGCTCATTGTTGTTGTTGGCAGAATTTGGTTGCTTGTGATTATGGGACCGAGATGGTTGGCCAGGAGTCACTTATGTTCAGCTCCTAGAAGCCCTCTTGGATCTTTTCAAGTGGTTCTCTCCATTTCGGCAACAGAGAGCTTCCTCTTCGTCAAACATTTCTCATGCTTTCAATCTCTCTGACTTCCTCTTCTACCGTCCAGAGAACACTCTGTTTTTAAAAGACTCCTATAATTAGATTAGGCTCATCCAAATACTGTCTTTTTTTGTTATATGATATAACATAATTACAGTAATAACACCATAATATTCTGCCCACCTCAGCTCTGTTCTTCATATTTGTGCAGCATCCAGTGAGAAAAGATACAGAGAGGGGGAAGACAATTTATTCTTGTAAGGTCATGGATTTGAAGTGAAATGTATCCACTAGACCAACAGTATCACATAATCACACTGAGCTATAATGGACGCTGCAGAATTCTGTTAGGCTCAAATCTAGCTAAAGTAGATAGAATTTCTATTATTAAAGGAAGATGAGCATTCTCAATCTCATTCCTCTCTATAGGCACCAAATATAAACATCTACCTTCCTCCACACACCTAAAATACACTCACCAATTCACAAAGGATGATAATCCAAGCCATTTATTGCCCTGGAGTCTTTGTATATTTGTAGTTCTCTCCAACAAATTCAGAAGTAGCTCATTGCAATGCGGGCTGAAAGACAAATTATTTGCCCCATCTCTATTCACACCTATTATATATATGTGGAATGGACCAAAGATAATGATAAAACTTCAATGTGGGGAGAAAAAGAGAAATGTGAAATCACTAATCTATAGCAATTACAATATTTTTTTTAAAGATTTTATTTATTTATTTGAGAGAGAGAATGAGATAGAGAGCATGAGAGGGTAGAGGGTCAGAGAAAGAGGCAGACTCCCTGCTGAGCAGGGAGCCTGACGTGGGACTCTATCCCGGGACTCCAGGATCATGACCTGAGCCAAAGGCAGTCGCTTAACCAACTGAGCCAACCAGGCGCCCCCCATAGCCACTCTTAATCATGACTATGATGAGGTGGTTTTCCAACCCACTTAATTGTTTGATGTATCAACTTTTGAACTATTCCTGGATTTACTCGAATTGTATTATTGAGAGTAAATTAATAATCAGATAGTAAACAGACTCTTCAGTGTTCTCAAGGGGAGAAAAAGTTACAGATTTGCTGATGTTGACTCTGCTATGGTCTCCTACTCTATCCCCAATTGTGATCACATTTGGAAATGATAAATGAAGCATATGACTCATCAGCATCAGCACTGACATCATCTCACAGCCTTTGCAATATGAAAAAAATGGAACATACCGGAAAGGTTGTAGGTGTTTTGGGACTCTGGTCTGGCCTTGGAGGGTGTATGTTCAGAACTGCTCACCTACACAGTTTCTGAGAAGCCATTCACTTCAGACTATAATGCTAACCCTATACTGGGAGTTGTACAATAGGTCAGCTGTGTAGATCATGCTGTTACTGACACTTTCCCTAAAGAGTACAAATTTCCATGAAATAAATGAATAAAATAAACCCTGCTCTTATCCTTTCACCTTGAAGTAGTCATCATTTCTTTTTATTTTTCCATTGTAGTGTTATCTGTACCATGAAGATTTGACATCATGAAGTCAGTTATGGTCTTTTAATCTCAGGGTCCTATAAAACCAATCCAATGAGTAAAGTGTGACTGATGTTTTAAAACAGGAAAATACAGGGGTGCCTGGGTGGCTCAGTCGGCTAAGCATCTCTCTTTGGCTCAGGTCATGATCCCAGGATCCTGGGATGGAGCCCTGCATCTACCTCCCTGCCCAGCAGGGAGCCTGCTTCTCCCTCTTCCCCGGTCCACAACCCCCCCGCCCCTGCACTGGTGCTTTCTCTCTTTCACTCTCTCTCATTCTCTCAAATAAATAAATACAATCTAAAAAAAAGGAAAATACACACACTTTCTGCACACAGGTTCTGCTTTTTCAGTGATCGATCCCCTGCAGGTCCTTAGTCTCCTTTGCTTCACGGATCCTGATGCAGCCTGAAATAACCCACACACTACTTGAAAAGGGAACAGTCATCATCACATTTTGACTTTTTTGAAAGGCCTGGAACACTATTAGTTTGTAATCTGTAGTCAAAAGACACAGATGGCCTCTCTTAGTATATGTCTAACTAAAATTTAAGAAGGTACTAGCAGATGGCTTAATGTAATCCTGCCTGTACCACCTGCAATGGGATCAGAAACTGACAATCTTCTGTATGATTCTGACTTAACTGTTGTCACAGTTTGATAGCATGTTGTCAACTACAATATATTAATTGGCACTTAGCACTGTCTTAGACACTAGACTCTGGTCTATGGGAACAAAAAAAATATAGAAAAAACATCCAATTGTGGCCTAACAAATTAAGCTTCATTTCTTATTTTAATGCTTTTCTTCCAGAAAGCAAAGTCTACTCTACTCTACTCTACTCTACTGGATTTTTAAAAAGATTCTTTGGGATTTTCTACATATACAATTATGTCTTCAATAGGGACATTTATATTTCTTAATTTCCAAACTGTAGATGTTTTCTTTCTTTTCTTGCCATATTACATTGGCTATGACTTCCAGTAGATGTTGAACAGGAGTGTGAAGGGCAGATAAACTAGTACTGGGGGGACAGGGGAGTACATTCAGTAGGTCACTACTGAGTATGTTGTAACGGTAGGGTTTTGTATATGGCTTTTTTCAGATAATAGGAATTCCCATCTATTCCTAGTTTTTTGAGTTTTTTCTTTATCATGAATAAATAAGTTTTGTCAAATACATTTTCTGTATATTGAGAAGATCATATGAGCTTTTGTATTTAATCTGTCAATATGATGAATTGTTTACATTGATTTTGTTGTTGTTGTTGTTAAACCAGTGTTGCTTTCTTGAAATAAACCCCATTGGTTGTTGTGTGTTATCCTTTGATATACTTTTAGATTTGATTTGATAACATTTTGTTGAGGATTTTTGCATCTATCTTGAAAGTTATTGCTAACCTTACACCAGTTAGAATGGTAAAAATTGACAAGGCAAGAAACAACAAATGTTGGAGAGGCTGTGGAGAACGGGGAACCCTCTTACACTGTTGGCGGGAATGCAAGTTGATACAGCCACTTTGGAAAACAGTGTGGAAGTTCCTCAAAAATTTAAAAATAGAGCTACCCTCTGACCCAGCAATTGCACTACTGGGCATTTACCCCAAAGATACAGATGTAGTGAAAAGAAGGGCTACATGCACCCCAATGTTCATAACAGCAATGTCCACAATAGTCAACCTGTGGAAGGAGCCGAGATGCCCTTCAACAGATGAATGGATAAAGATGTGGTCCATATATACAATGGAATATTACTCAGCCATCAGAAAGAATGAATACCCAACTTTTGCATCAACATGGATGGAACTGGAGGAGATTATACTAAGTGAAATAAGTTAAGCAGAGAAAGTCAATTATCATATGGTTTCACTTATTTGTGGAACATAAGGAATAGCATGGAGGACATT